CAGAGAGGTTAGGATAGCAGAGGCAGCCGAAGACGCGAAGATGGGTGTAAGACGGGGGAGTGCGATGAAGGACTTCATGAGGGGTGCGGTTTTTTAGAGTGGTGGTGGGAAGGATATTAAAGAGGTGGGTAGCCATATGTAAGGCTTCGACCCAAAATTGAGGAGGGAGACTAGCCTGAAAGAGTAGGGTGCGAACGGTGTTGTTTAAGGTGCGGATGGTTCGTTCAGCACACCCATTTTGTTGGCTGGTGTAGGGGCAAGAGAAGCGGAAGAGGATACCTAGAGATTCGAAGAATGTGGCAAGTGGGGAGTTTCAATATTCGGTGCCATTATCACATTGGACAGATTTGATGGTGGTGTTAAATTGATTCTTAACTAGCGCATGAAATTTTACAAGATGAGAATAGGCATCAGATTTATGATGGAGAGGGAAGATCCATAAGTAATGGGAGAAATCATCAAGTAGAAACATATAAAATTTAAAACCAGTTACACTAGGAACGGGAGATTGCCATAAGTCTGTATGCATTAATTGAAAAGGAAAAGTAGTAATACGACTTGAAGACTGAAAAGGTAGGCGAACATGTTTGCCCAATTGACATGCATGACATAAAAGATCTAATTTAGATTTAGCTAATCTATCTAAAGAATGAGACACTCCATGGAGAACAGCTGGGCTGGGGTGTCCAAGACGGCGATGCCAGGTGGAAAGATCAACTTGTTCTAGATGAAGCTGGGCGCTGGAGTTGACTTGGGAGATGGGATAGAGAGGTCCGTCACTATTGGATCGATGAATCACGGCTCCCGTCAAGGTGTCCTTAACAGAGAAACCACATAAATCAAATTCAAGAGTGCAATTATTATCACGAGTAAATTGACGGACAGAGATGAGGTTATGTGTGATATGTGGGGAAATAAGGACATTGTTTAGAGTGAGGAGAGGGGATGTGGGGAGGGTACCATTACCGTGACCAGTAGTGCTTACTTTAGAACCATTACCAACAATAATATGCATAGGTGATTTAATGTTTGAAGAAAATACATGAGATAAAGTACCTGGGTCAGAGGTGATATGGTGGGATGCTCCGGTGTCCATGAACCAGATGGGATTCGTGTGGGTGAGGGTGAGGTTCTCGAGGCTGTGGGCTAGAGCGGTAGGGTTGGGTGGGGTGGTGAAGTGGGGCGGGTTGGGTGAGGGTATTTGGAGTGGGCTGGGG